AGGGGCGGGGGCGGCCAGGGAGGCTCAGGGCCGCAGCCCCAGGCGCCGGGCAGGCGGCACTCACCCCCGCAGGGCCGAAAGCTGGAAGCGCTCGACACAGAGCTGGATGAAGACGCGCAGGTCGGTCTTGCTGACGCCGCCTATGGGGTTGATGTCGGCGCTGGAGCAGTCGTACTTGGTCAGGTAGCCCAGGAGGCTGCCGCGAGAGAGCGCGGGGGGCTCAGGGCGGCCGACCCGGGGGCCGGGGGGCTGGCAGCCCAAGGCTGGCTTTCCCGGGAGGCCTGCGGAGCCAGAGCTGGGCCAGTCGGGGGAGACGGAGAAACCCGCCGGGCTGAGGCAGGCCGTGGGAGGGCGGGGCTGCGGGGCTCACCCTCCGAGGCCCGGGGTGCGCAGGGCCCCTCGGGGCGCCCACCGGACCTACGCACCTCTCGTCCACGTTGGCAGCTCCGAGCACCAGGAGTCCGCCTGGAGCGCCCCGGGACCAGAGGCTCAGCTGAGCGAAGAGATAGGCGAGGACCATCCTCAGCCGAGCCTGGACGAGAGGAGGGAACGCGTCACCCTGTGCGGGGCACGGGGGACGCGTGGGCTGCCACCCCGTCCCGTCGCGGCCGGGGAGGAAGGCTCGCCCCGTGCAACCTCGGACAACAGGACGGTTAGACGCGCTCGGCATCCTAGTGTCCAGGGAAGACGGGGTGCCGGAGCCCCGCGCAGGCCCCCGGGCGGGCCCATCTCCACAGCGCCGTGCGGGCTCAGCGGCGGCCGAGTCAAGGACGGAAGGGCCCGGAGCCTGGGGCCGAGGGTTGGTGGATGGGAGAAATCTCGGCCACCGCGTCCACTCCCTTCACCGCTGGCCTTTCCGGAGGGGTGGCCGCCCACGTCCAGCAGAAAGGGGACAGAGAGAGGACAGCTCCAAGCGCTGGAGCGCAGGGCCCCTCTTTGCCTCCATTCGGCCCCCCTGAGGCAGCCCCGGGGAGGGGACAGTGGGTGGGCCACTCACCGAAGATGCAGAAAAGACACAGACACGCTGTGCACACTCGCACCGCAGTCTCACCAGCGCACAGGTCCTCACACACACACCCCCGCACTCAGGCACACACACGTGTGCACTCAGACGCTCACAACCCGCGTGCACACTCAACACTCGCAGCCCCGTCTCCCTTGCAGACTTTCACGTTCACACTCAGCCACGCTCACACACACTTCCACACACCACAGTCTCCGACACCTCACGCTTACGCAACACGTGTGCACACGCTCACACTCCTATCACTCACCCGCACACCCCCCCAGGCACCCTTGCTCTCGCATGGTCGCACACGCACACGCACACGCATGCACGCAGACCCGGGCCTTGTCCAGGAGGCCGCATGCTCAGTGTCCCCAACGGGGCACGCAGGCCACTGACCCCAGTGCGGGCCATCCCCAGGCCCCCCGCAGCCCAGCGCAGGGACTGTGGCCGGGCCGGGGGGCTCACTCACCTGCACGTTCTGCAGGGCCAGGTTCTCCCGGCTGCTTCCTCCGTGAGCCGCAAACAGAGGCCTTTTACCCGTGACCAGGCTGAAGATGCCCAGGACGGCCGTCACGGCGGGACCGATGCCGAGGCTGATGTGGTGGCTGGAGAGAGATGCACATGCGTGTGAGGGGCAGGCGTGAGGGGCGTGCGTGTGTGTGCGAAATACATGAAACTCACCACCCTAACCATTACAAAGTGCACGACTCAGGGGCGTTTCGTGCACCCAGCTCTCTGGAGAGAGGTCCTGTCCCCGCCTCCCTCAGGTTCAGGGGCTGGCAGCCTGCTCCACGTGACCCCGCACACGTCAGCCCCGTGGCCTGCGCCCGGGACGCAGGACGGAAGGAGGGTGGACATCGGACAGCTGGGATTCGGGGTGAGGCTGATACACAGGTTCCCTGAAGCCTGCTCAGCCCCTGGATGCACGTCTGGTCGCGGGCGCAGTTTCCCGCGGTCACAGCCACGGACCCGGGGCCCTCCCCCGGGACCACTCTACCTTCCGATCTGCTGGGCCAGCTCCCGGGCCCTGTCGCTGGTCTCCTGGGAAGAGTTCTCGCTGGCCATATAGCAGGTGGTCAGGAGGCGCCCGCAGAGCTCACGGGGGTCCTGGGGGGTGTAGCTGTCCTGGCTCACGAGGGTCCGGACATCAGCCAGCACCTCCTGATCTGAAAGCCGCCAAGCAGAGCAGTGGCAGCCACATGCTGGGCGCGAGGTGCCCGAGGAGCTCAGTCCCTCCCCATCACACCAGGGACCTTGTCCACGGCCCTGTTTTTTGGTTCTATCACTAAGGAGACGGCCAATGTCAAGGCCTGGAGGGGCGGATTTGAACTTGGGTTTGCCTGACCCGAAGCCTGTGTGCTCTGCACCGGCCACAGTACAGCACGGTACACGCCTGTGAATCCACGGCCACGGCACATGCCTGTGAATCCACAGCCACGGCACACACCGGTGAATCCACAGCCACGGTACACGCCTGTGAATCCACGGCCACGGCACATGCCTGTGAACCCACGGCCACGGCACATGCCTGTGAACCCACGGACATGGCACATCGGCCCAAAACCCTGGGCAGGGACTTTAACGGCCTTGCTGGCTCTGGGCCCCAGGACCCAGGCAGGTTAGGACAGCTCATGAAGCCCAAAAAGTCGCCTCCACCCATGACGCCCATGACCTGGGGTTTTCCTCCGCTCCNTCTGGGCCCCAGGACCTAGGCAGGTTAGGACAGCTCATGAAGCCCAAAAAGTCGCCTCCACCCATGACGCCCATGACCTGGGGTTTTCCTCCGCTCCCCCCACGGGCAGCCTGAGCGCTGACCCCCGGAGCCTCCCTCAGGCACAGACGTCACCTACTTCCGTTTTTCACGGCCTCGCAGACCTGGTGGCACATGGAGTAGACGAGGCAGGCGGTGGCCGCGCTATCCACCCCTCCACTCAGGGGCAGGAAAAACCCCGCCTGGAACAGGCCAACCAAATGCAGGCGTGAGCACGGCCTCGGAGATGCGGTGTGCCCACAGCTCCGCCCCGCTCCACCCGCAGACCCTGACGGGCGCCCACAACGCTTGCAGGCATCTGAGTGCACAGGGGAAGGGGGGGAACACGCCTTGCATTCCCCACTGTGGATTTTAGGGGGAAGGTCCTTCCATTGGGGGAGCTGCCAAGGCTGACTCCCTGGTCACTGGAGACGGGCATGACCCTAACCTGGCCCTACACGGAGCCCTTTGGCCCCTGGCTAGTGCAGACCAAGCTCCTAAGTCCAAGTGGAGAAACGCTTTGGATTGCTTGCATTTAAAAACAAAATCACGCCCGGCTGGTGTTGCTCAGTAGTTGAGTGTTGACCCATGAACCAGGAGGTCAGGGCACACGCCCGGGTTGGGGGCTCGATCCCCAGGAGGGGGGTGCAGGAGGCAGCTGATCGCTGTTCTCTCATCGATGTTTCTCTCTCTCCCTCTCCCTTCCTCTCTCTCTAAAAAAAATCAATAAAACATAAAAACGAAATCACTAGCCTGCCACAGAATCAATGCAAACCGGCGAAAAGGGGAGGGTTGGCTGGGGAGACCTCGCAGTCTTACCTGGTGGCTTCGCCTTAAAAAATCCCAGAGCCAGCAAGCAGGTCCGAGGCTGGGGAGCAATGGGGGGGCGTTAGGTTTGGGAACTGCTGCCCGGGGCCGCAGCTCACCTGCGGCGGGTGCCTGGGGGGAGTGGCGCCCGTGAGAACCGCCAGCAGCGCCGGGCTCTCCGGGCACCGGTTTGTTTGTTCTAAGAGTCTCACTGAACTGATGCATTTTAAGTCTCAAAACAGCCTTGCCCTTGGCCCCATGTTGAAATGGGAAAACCGAGATGCAGAAGGGAGAAGACAGAGCCTCTGTCTCCAGGTCTCAGGGCAAGGAAGCGTGGGCGCGGGGGGTGGCGCCCCGGCGGTGTGGCCCCGGGGTCCCCCCTGCACAGGAAGGGCCGCCCACCTGATCTCCTCGCCCGCACTGTGGTATTTCCACTCCACGGGCTCTGACAGCGGCTCCAGCAGGTCCTCGTGGCACGAGAGGGCAAAGTCCACCTTAACGCGGGGGTAGGGGCTCACCCTGCTGGCCTGTGGATGGAGAGTCACCGCAGATGGTGTCCCCCGAACCAGAACCCTCACAGGGTCCGCCACGGGCTGAGAGCAGGACCCTGCCAGCCGGTGGGAAGCACACGTCAGAACCGCAGCGGCAGGCCCTTCCCACCCGCGGGACGCCACGGTCAGAAAGACGGACGGTCACAACACGGGCGGGGACATGGGGGGACTGGAGCCCTCGTGGGCCCATCACCGGTGGGGTCGAAAATCGGGCGGTTCCTCAAAAGATTAAAACGTAAAATAACCACGGGACGCAGCTAGTCCACTCCCCGCTCTAGGAGACAGGGGAGCTGTGTCCACACCAAAACCGGGGCCTGTGCTCACAGCCGCACGTTCGTCACAGACAAAAACGAGAAACGGCCCACGTGTGCGTCAACGGATGCGGGACAAACACGACATGGGTCCATCCGGGCAACGGAGTATTACTCGGCCATCAAAAGGAATGAAGTCCCGGCACAGGCCGCCACGGGGATGGACCGTGGAAACATTCTGCTCAGTGAGAAGCCGGTCGCGAGAGGCCACACGTGGTGCGAGTCCCTCTGTGTAACTACCTGGCACAGCCAGACCCACAGACAGGAAGCAGGCCGGAGGCCGCCCGGGCCGGCGGAGGTGAACGGGTCCGGCCCCACTTTGGGGCGCTGAAATGTCCTAATGTGGTGGCAGCTACGCCGCACAGGCACGAGTCTGCTAAAAACCACGGCATCAAGTGCTAATTCAGTGAACTGTGTGGTGTGGGAAAGACATCCCAATAAAGCGGTTAGTTTTTAAAAGAAGTTTCCGGGTCTCTGGCCAGCATCCTACAAGGGTGTCCACCTACCGCCAAGTTTCGAGATGAGATCTCCGCCCTGTAGCTTCTGACATCCTCCAAATCCAACGTGGCGGTGAGGACTTCCTGGAGGAGTTTGAAAGGAAAGGGTGAATTCCTGTTCTCCCACGCACGCGTGCAACCCGGCCACCTTAACAGGTGCGACAAACGGCACAAGGTTGGGTCATGGCTTCGGAGGCCAAGACTGGGGCCCCGTGGGCTCGAGGGGCCTGGGGAGGGGGAGGGCCGGTGCCGGTGCTGACAGAGCCTCGGCTGAATTCAGACACTTCCCAGCGACAGGAGGTAATTCTGTTGGTAAATGTCTGCTGGGGGCTTCTGAGACCATGGGGTACAGGGGCCCCTCTTCCGCCTTTGAACTTGACGGTGTGGAGATGGGATGGCTGGAGCCCCTGCAGCCACCCTGTGACCACGAGGAGGGGCCATCGGAGAATGACACCCACACAGGGGACGACTGATCAGGGGAATGGTAGCGAGGTGGAGCCAGAGCCCTGCGACCCACGCCAGGGTCCCGGCCCCAGTGCGCCTCTAACCCCAGGTGAAGCTGGGGTGGGGGAGGTTCTGCCGCTTATGGCAGAAGAAAAGAAAGGTTTTAATTTGCAAATGTTATTCCTATCTACAAAAAAAAGATTCCTCATCAAATCACATTACTAGAATATCGTCTCGCTACGTGCAAGCGTAGTGAGGGGACACCATGGGGTGACACGGGGCGGCTGGGGCCACCCTGCTCCTGCCACTCAGACTGTGGGCAGCTGCCTTGGTCAACACTGGGCCTGACTCAGGTTGCAGGGCCACGGAAGCCACTGCTTCTCATGTGAAAAAGGCAAAGAAAGTGTGAGGCCACAAAAAGCAAAGAGACCCTGGAGAGCGTGACTGTTCTCGTGAGAGGACCCCGCCCCACCTCCCCCCGAACACTGTCGGCTTCCGCACGGTGCCTGAGGGGAAGAGAGACGCAGGTGCCCCGGGACAAGGTCAGGCTCCGTGGTGGCTGAGACGTGTTTCTCTGCACGTCTTTGGCAGATGAGGGAGAAGGCTGTGGGCGGCACTGCCTTGGGCCTGAGGACACTGATGCCACCTCCGTCCCTGAACACTTGGGCACAATCAGGCGGGAATGGCCCCGTAGACGTGCACAGGGATCCCTCTCGCCAACCGGGTGAAGGAGAGGCAATCAGGCGGGGCACCCACAGGCCCCGTACAGGACACCCCAGTTGTGGGGGGACCGAGAAACGGCCTTTGTACAAGGATGGTTGTGGAAGGGACCACACGTCACCCCCACACGTGCACGTGGCCCCTCACCACATCGTCCAGCGAGAACTGGGACCCCTGAGCGAAGATGCTGCCGTTCATGGCGATCATGGCGCAGCCGTCGTAGTAGAGCCGGTCCCCGTCGCAGCCCTTCTGATTGGCCAGCAGGTAAATCCCACCGTTCTGGAAAACGCAGGGCCAACGGCGGGGTCGGCGGGGTCTGTGGCCGTGGCCCATCACCACGGCCGGCCACCGGCTCCTGCCATCTGCCTACCTTGGTGGTGGCCATGGTCACCAGATCCACCCTGGCGTGGGCTTTGCGTAGCACGTGGTGGCTGCTGGAGGCGTTGGTAAAGATCTCCACACCATCCAGGCCCATTTCGATGTGTGGGCTGCGGGCAGAAGCGGGTGAAGGTGAAGGGACGAGATTGCTGCGCCCCCAACCTCCCCCAGCCCCGCGAGCTCCCGGGCATCTCCACAGCCCAAGCCGGGGACTCCAGGCGGCCGTGTCAGGACAGGGCTCTGGGGGCTGACCTGTGGGGCGTCCAGAGCTCTTCGCAGATCTCGCTCCCGATGCAGGTGTCCCGCGTGGCCAGCACTGCGTCTCCAAAGGGCACAGTTTCCTGCAGTCGGGGGACAAGAGCACATGAGACCCAGGGCCGTCCCCGGCTGGGCTACGTGCTGATGTAGGACCCCGACGTCGCTCAGAGAGTGTCACGAAGGCGGCCGTTTTCTTTGAGCCCTAATGCATCCTGAACTTGGAGCACGCCCAGCCCAGGGCCTGGCAGCAGCTGGCATCTCCCTGCTGACCTCAGGAGCCTTGGGTCACATATTTACCAGCCAGGAGCCAGGGTCCGAGCTGCCCCGGAGCTCACGTGGCTGCAGCAAATGGACTCAGCACTGGAAGTGTCCACTGCACAGATGGCCACGGTCATCACGGTCACGAGTGACCCAGCTCTCACTGGTCGAGGGCTCCTCAGGCCTGGCACGGCACTAAGTACCTTTCCACACGGTCTATGCGCTTGACGTGTTACTAGGAAGTAGTTCAACCCTGGGCCAGAAATGACCCGACCGGGTTCACGGTGGTCCCGTTACCTTGACCCGAAGGCTCCTGCCCCACCGGGTCCACCACTGGCCTTGAACGGTGACATCGGAGTGAGAGGTGCATTTTACTCCCCAAGACTCACCTGTTTCGTCAGGTCCTGGATCATCCGCGGGAGGAAATACTCCTCTGTCTGCCTGCAAAGGAAGCACCGCAGGTCTGAGGACCCCCCGGGGAGGCGGAGGACTCATCTGAATGGGAACCAACCCGGCTGGGGGCTGCGAGCCACGGGGCGGCGCCGTCCCCTCCGTCTCGGCCTCCCTCCCCACGCTGTGACCGACGGGGTCACCTGAAAAGAGGGCACATCACCCCACATACAATTACACCCTGCACCATCCCTGAAATAACGGGGTAACTTTGCAAGTTCTGTAAGATGGGACAGAGGAGTCGAATGCACATGAGCACGTGGCATCCCGGGGCAGAATTTAAAAAGTAGATGGTTCGCCCGGCCGGTGTGGCTCATTGGTTGAGCCACGTCCCAAGCATCAAGGTCACGGGTTCGATTCCCGGTCAGGGCACACGCCCGGGTTGCAGCTCGATCCCCAGCAGGGGGCGTGCAGGAGGCAGCCACTCGATGCCGATGTTTCTCTCTCTTTCTCCCCCCCTCCCTTCCCTTCTCTCTAAAACCAATAAAAACATATTTAGAATAAATAGTAAAAATAAAAACAGAGTGTAAAGGTTCCATATACAACAGCAGCAACGATAAATAAGTAGTAGGAGCGACCCTAAGGGGAGAGAAAGCGGGGCAGGGCTTCTCAACCGGGGGCGATCTCGCCCCCAGGAGACCTGTGGCCACGTCTGGAGATTCTGTGGCTGTTGCGAGCGGACGGGAGTCAGGTGGTGGCCAGGAACGCGGCCGCACACCTTTCCGTGGGTGGACAGCCCACGGGCGAGCGGTCCACCTCGCGCAACAGGTCCGGCTGGAGAAACCTGGACGTGCAGTCACTCAGGCTGGGGAGTGGTGACGGGGCTGGAGGACCGGGGTGTCTGGCCTGCGAGACACTGCTTATAACTGAATAGCAGCATCAAAGCTGTCATGTCTAATTTTTATTTTTTTAAATATGTTTTTATTGATTTCAGAGAGAGGAAAGGAGATGGAGACAGAAACATCAATGATGAGAGTCATTGATCGGCTGCCTCCTGCACGCCCCCGACTGGGGATCGAGCCTGCAACCCGGGCTCATGCCCTGACCGGGAATCCAACCTTGACCTCCTGGATCCTAGGCCGACGCTCAGCCGCCGAGCCACGCTAGGCAAAACACTCCTATCTAGACGACAGATCCCGGGGGGCAGGGACTTTGCCCGAATTCTGTGGTCTCCCCTACGACCTGGACCACGGCTACGCACCGGGAAGACGTGTCATAAACCCCCGAGGAGCGCCCGTGTCAGGCCCGGACTCACCGGCTCCTGGACCACGGGGTGAACCAGCGCAGCTCGCGGTAGTTCCCTTCGTTTGCCAAGGCCATCTTGGGTCTGATCAGCAGGATCTTCCTACAGGCAGGGGACAAGAGTGTCCCTGAGACGGACGTGCCCGTAGGAGGGGCGGCCCTGACAGGTGAGGCCCAGCAGGCTGCCAGGGGCAGGGAAGACGCGCACCCAGCGCAACAGGGCCGCCTGTCCCCAAAACCGCCCCGGGGTCTCTCTAACGCCTAAAGGTGCCTGTGTCGGGGCGGCAGGGACCGGGAGAAGCAGCGTCACTTGCAGTGCCTGCCCGGCGCCTCGGAAGACACCTCCCAGGGGCCACGTCACAGCCCCAGGCCTGCGTGGGGCCCGCCTACCTGTTGAGAAATATCACCCGGCAGTTGTAGCGGACGTTCCGGTGCATCACGGGCCTGCAGAGAGAGGGGACGCGGGGGCCTGTCGGCAGCCAGCAGGTCATTCCCTCTCGGCTCTAATCCGAGCGCCCTCGGCCCTTTCAGGGAAGCAGAGGCTGCTGGGCACCTGTCTCAAATCAAAGTTAACACGTGGGCAGCGTCTGGCACAGACCCTGAGCTGGGAGAGTCTCCTAAGCTGGCACGAAGCCGCCCTGCTCGGGGCTCCTCCCCCCTAGAACGTCCTCAGGCCTCCGGGGCGGCCGCCCTCCCTGTGCTGGGTCCTGCTGCCCTGTCACCGCTCCATCTCCTACGGGCCTCCTGCAAGCCCTGACCCCTCCGGGTTCTTCTGAGCGCCTCCCGGACGGGAGCCCCTGCCAGGGCGCAGGCTGCGTGCCGGGCGGTGGCGATCGGCCAGGGGCACCCGGCCCGGGCGCAGACAGGTTCACCCACGGCTCTGCCTGGACCCTCTCTGGGCAGACACTGTGCTTCCAGTCTCCTCCCCCGCCCGGCATGTCCCCTCTGCAGGACGGGCCTCAGCGGGAGAGCCGGTGGCGAGCCTGCCCCGGGTGAGAGCGCAGGGGGCTCGGGCGCAGGGGCGCGGACGCCGCCTTCCGGCAGCACCGAGGGTGGACCACCAGACGCAAACAAATAAGCTAGTAAATCATAAATGCCCAGGGACACAAGCAGGCGAAGCAGTGACGCTGGGAAGACTAAGGCCACGTGCCACCCGTGTGGGCTTTAGAATCAGGTGGCCTGGGTTCCAATCCAGCTTTTTCTGGGCTAAGTCAGGCTGGCCTCTCTCTTCCGCCCAGTGCCCGCGGGGAAGTCAAGGGCAGGATGCACCCGTCCTCCCCAGTCCCGGCCTTGGACAGACAGGCAGCCCCCAGGACAGACAGGCAGCCCCCAGGACGCACTCCCACCATGACGGTTCCTATCCCTCCCCAGAGCCAAAGCAAAACACACTTGTTTCATGTTTGTACAAAATGTATACGGCGTGTAAGGTAAACATATAGGGTGTTCCCCCCAAAAGCGTACGCAGTGCATATTAAGATATATTTCATTTTCAAAATGTAACAGGATCTAGAGCTATCAGTTGTTAAAGTGAGTTTATGTTTTTCGGGGACACCCTGTATTTTAAGTAAAACAGAGGCCCCCAGTGAGTATCCGATCTCTAACTGCAGTCAGCCTCTTAAACAAATAAAAAGCACTACAAGAACAATTTAAAGCTTAAAACACAGAACCAAACAGCCAACGCCACACGTGGGAAAGTGCTTTCATCCGGCGTGGGAACGGCGGTGACGTCTGCCCGAGAGAAAGGACCCAGAACACGGCACAAACGCGCCAGCTGTCGGAAAACCAGAGTCACGCAGCGGCCGGCCAGCAACAAAAAGTCCAACTCCGCCGGGGCGAAAGCAAGTAAGACAGTTTCCAAAAGGTACCCGTCGTTCTAAGACTCTGTTTCGTTTTTCTTTCTTATTTCGCGCCAGCCCTTTGCGACGGAGCCGGAGACCACGCGCCTCCAACCGCCAGAGCGGCACCGAGACTGGGCGCCTTCTCCAGGGGCGTAACTTGGAAACACAATCCGAGGAGGCGGACGTCGGCCACGACGCGACGCAGCTGTGAGACAGAGGACAGAGGACAGAGGGCGGGCCCCCCAGCCAGGGAACACTGGCACCCTCGAGGGGATGGAAAAGGGCAGCAATGGGCTCCTCCCTAGAGCCTCCCGCAGGACCCGGCCTGCCTGGCCCACTTGGACTTCTACCCTCCGGAACCCGACGGCACAACACGTGTGTTGCTTTTGTGTTGTGCCTTTGCGGCCACTTGTCACAGCCGCAACGGGAAACCAGCACCGTCCACACATCAGGAATCACGGTACATGTGGGCTAACTAAATAAACAAATGGAAAGCCCCCCCCCCCGCGCTGCTTAAGAGAGACGCCACCGCTCAGGTGTCACAGCAGGAGCGAGAACGACGTCGGAGCAGGAGACCAGCAGGTGCCGAAAGGATGCAACGTGGCTGCATCTACGTGACACAGAACAGAACCAAAGAAGTAAACAGACACAGCACAGAGCCCACCGACGGGCTTGGTTAGCCAAGAGCGGCCTAGGCCCACATTAGAATAGCACGGCCCATGTGACCCCCACCCGTGGGCCTCCACCCGTGGGCCTCCACTGCATATATCTACACCTGTGGAACATGAACCACATCTGGTCAGCACGTCAACACGGAGGGACGTGGAACCGTCCCACGACATCCCTTTAGGTGACGGAAGGGGCGTCTCTGAGACGGGAACACTGCGCTCCCACCTGTGCGAAGCGTGTCACACCTGCACGGAGCTTCCGGAAGACCTCGCAAAAACTGCTCCCAAGGGCTGCTCCCGCTGCGGGGGGATTAGGTGCCTGTGGACCAGGGCGACCCACTTTCCAATATAAGGCCTTTTGTTTCTTGAGATGTGCAGGTTCCACGGCCCTGAAGCTAGGAGGGCGCTGGACGCATCACGCCCCTGAACGTCCCTCTTTTCCGAGCCTGTCCTGTCATCGCGCACATCGGCACTTACATTCCCACGTCACAGATGATGTCCTGGGTGACCGGAGACTCCAGGAGGGCGGCCAGGACTTGCAGTGAATGCAAGAGGGTGTCCGACTCGTAATAATGATCCCAGCATCCGTAGCCGCTGCAGGGGGAGAGAACGGAGCAAATGGAGGGTGAGCCCCAGGGACATACCAGGGAGCCCCGGGTGAGGCGGGGCCGGGGCCCATGGCCCGATCGAGTCAGCTGTGCCCAGGGGCAACCAGGCACTGGGATCTTTTGAAAGCCTCCAGGTGATCCTAGAGGGCAGCTAGAGGTAGGATCCCCGCTGCAGGAAACGGTGCGTTACCGGTAATTAAGACACAGTGGGCCCCTGTCCCTTTCTCTCAGTTCTAAGTTACGACGAGACATTCTCATGTCAGAAAGTGTCTGCTTGTGTGCTTTTTTTAACCTTTAATGTGGTCAAAATCATACCGATCTATAGACAAGGGATGCAAGAGAAACAAAGTGGCACCCACAAAATCCAGACAGGGAAGAGCGTCACGACGGCTCAAAACACCACTCACACCGCTGCTCCCGGGCTTCCGCCACAGAAGCGGGCACTGGGCCCAACGGGCCCCAGACAGGTGTGCCCAGGTCCTAACTCCGAGTGGCGACACTGACCTTACGTGGAAAAGGGGTCTTTAGAGATGCAATTAAGGGTCTGGAGATAGGTGATCCCGGGTTACCTACGTGGGTCCTCAATCCAATGACAAGTGTCCTCATAAGAGACAGAGGAGACACAGAGAGGAGGGGGAGGCGTGTGAAGACAGAAGCAGGGGTTGGGGTGACGCGGCCACAAGACGGGGAACCGGGAGCTGGAAGCCGGAGAGGCAGGAGGGACCCTCCCCCGGGACCTTCGGAGGAAGCGCAGCCCTGAGACACCCTGGATTTGGGCCTCTGGCCCTCTGAGCCAGGAGAGAATAAACTGCTGTTTTATCTACTCATTTATTTTTAAAGGATTTTTTAAAAATGTGTTTTTTATTGATTTCAGAGAAAGAAAAGGAGAGGGAGAGAGAGAAACATCAATGATGAGAGTCATTGATTGGCTGCCTCCTGCACGCCCCCGACTGGGGATCGAGCCCACAACCCAGGCATGTGCCCTGACCGGGAATCGAACCGCGATCTCCTGGATCCTAGGTCGACGCTCAACCGCTGAGCCACGCCAGCCGGGCATAAACTTTTGCTGTTTGAAAGCACCCAGCTCGTGGAACTTGGTTCCAGCAGCCCCAGAAACTGATGCAATTGCTCCAGGATGTCAGCAAGTCCAGGGACAATGAATAATGGTCCCACCACAGGGCAGGGGCCCAGAGGCCAACGGGAAACTAGGGAAGCGTGTGGCGCAGTGCACACCGCACTCAGAAAGGAACCTGAGGTTTAAGAGGCGCAGTGTGGCAACTAATCAATAATTTTTTAGTAGAAGTCAAGAAGAAAGGTCACTGCAAAAAGGCAGCGCAGAGTGGTCCCTACTCTCAAGCACAGAAAGGTGCTGAGACCACCCACGAAACCAGGAAACGGATGCCCTGGGACAGGCCCCGGGTCCACAGAAGCAGCCCTGCGCTCGCCAGCTGCCGGGAATCGAGGACTCCCCAGCCGCACGGGGCCTGCTCCTGGGCAGCCCTCTCCCGGGTTTCTGCCGGTCTCCTCCGTGCCCGGTCCCTCCTTCCTCGCCCTTTCGGCCGAGGGGCGCCAAGGCAGACACCTCCCTGCCCACCCTGGGGTGCTTCCGAGTTTTGCTCTCACCATATCTCCAGTTCTGGCCCAAGCCTGTATCTGGCTCCCTTCTGTTTGGCGATTTCGATGCCTACACGTAGAAAGAGAGAGAGAGGGGGGCAATTTCAGCACCTACATGTTCGAAGGCAGATAAACAGTCTGCCGCAGTGGGTGTGATATAAAAACAAACCAACCCGCCTGGCCGGGCGTGGCTCAGCGGTTGAGCATCAACCTAGGATCCAGGCGATCGGGGTTCGATTCCCGGTCAGGGCACATGCCCGGGTTGCGGGCTAGACAGCTGATCAATGACTCTCTCATCATTGATGTTTCTGTCTCTCTCCCCCTCTCCTTTCCTCTCTCTGAAATCAATAGACATATTTAAAAAAATAAAAAAAAATAAAATAAAATAAAATAAAAACAAACCAACCTAACCCACAAACGTGCTCCGTGGCCTCCCTGCCCTGATGCAGCCGAAGAGGGCATCTCCCCGACCTGTTTCCACCTGCAGGACCTGACATACGGGCAGCACCCAAAGGCTGACCTTGGCACCAAGGGGGTGGAAATCTCTCCCTGGTGGTTTATTAACGAGCAAATGTGGAAGGAAAACCCAGCACAGCGAGGAGGCAGGACCGGGAGGCACCGGCGCGCAGCGGGCACCACAAACCTCCGGGTTTGGCCAGCAGCTCCCGGGTGCAGCCTGGCAGAGGCTGGCTGAGTGCAGCGGGCTCTGGCCACCCAAGATCACCCCTCCCAGATTTGCTCTGAGCTCTGATGCGGTGACAGCAGGTTGATATGGGGGGAAAAAAAAGAAGTTGAAGGTCCAAGGCACCTGGCTGAGAAGACGCCCTGGACGGAATCATTCCGTGTCTACCGCCGTAAACAGCTGAGGACAAGACCACCTGGGGTGGCCACACCTGCAGGGCTGCGCAGGGCAGGTAGGCGAGCGTTCCTCTCAAAGGTGAGCCAGCGCAGGTGATAAGGCTCTGGGAGGACCCCTGGCCACTAAGCGGCCTGCTCACCTTAATTCCACGTCACCCTCTGGGCCACCTCTCCCAACGCCCACCACCAGGTGGGTGCCAGGCACCAGAGCGCACCCACTGCAGGACGCTGCACAGCACCCTCTCCGGGGACTGGCCACCCCCTGCCCTTACACACCACGAGGAGGGGGGCTAACTCTAGATAGGACCCCAGAGATATTTGAGGGCAGGTGCGCCCCAGCCGCCCCGCCCTCCATCTGCACTCTGCGCCCAGACTTTCCCAGGTGTCCCCAGGCACTGGCGAGGGTC